CTGTCTCCCAGTCCGGTCTCGCCGCCCCCACGCTCTCTCACGCTCCCTCGAGCTCGTACGCGATAAGCTGTGCAGATAAAGCTATCGATAAGGGAGGGATAACGGTTATCGTAATTTTTTCGAGAGGTCGGGAGAGAAGCAGTGTTCTTTAAGCATAGACATTAGATGAAAGGGGATTTATAGGTATTCATAACGCTGATTTTTAAGCGTGAACGAAAAGTGGGAAAAGAAAATATTCGTCGTTACGGTCGATCGATGAGTGAGTAATAGTGCTGTGTCGTATCCCCTTCGTTCGTGTTCGTTCGTTCGTGTGAAAAAAAGCATAAGAACATCACATAAAGAAGTTTTAAAGTGTGATCCTAACCATGATCAAATTACCCGACTCCCTAACTTGATAACAACTCAACTTTACGCTACACACTTATAATAGTATAAGTATTCAACACGTGTGAAAAGTGTCATCCGAGGAATAAAACAAGTGAGGAACAAGACATATAAAAGAGCAACAGCAATGGAATCCTACAGTTCAGCCGCAGTTGTCTATCGAAGCTGTTCATTCTGATTGGTATCTGCATTAGTGTCATTGTCCCATTGTGGGCGTGATGAGGGAGGGGGGGTGGCGATCTGGGTGCGCGTGGGGGTGTGTTTGGGTCCGTTTGAGTGTGTATATGTTGGGGGGGGGTGTATGTGTGTGTTTGTGCGTGTAGGGGAGGGTGTGTGTATGTGTGTGGGGTATATTGTGTGTTGTATGTGTGTTTGTATGTGTGTGTGTGTGTGTGTGTGTGTGTGTGTGTGTGTGTGTGTGTGTGTGTGTGTGTGTGTGTGTGTGTGTGTGTGTGTGTGTGTGTGTGGTGTGTGTGTGTCAAACGACCATAAATATCTGCACATACATCAAATATTGAAGTATGCAATTCAACAAAATAAACAGACAAAACACACATACCTAACACAACAACCTGCCAAAAATCACACACGCACACGCAAAGACAAACACAGACACCAAACATAAACACAGACACACACACGCAAACACAAACACAGACACACACACGCAGACATAAACAAAGATACACACACATGCAAACATAAACACAGACAAACACGCAAACATAAACACAGACACACGCAAATATAAACACAGACACACACGTAAACACAAACACAGACACACACACACAAACATAAACACACACACACACGGAAACAGACAAAAAAACATCATAAATATCCACAACCGCTTTTTCTCTTCCGAAGGCAAAGTGCTTGAGGATGAGGACCGTGCATGTGCTTGCGTTGTCAGCACTGTTGACCTCGGCTTCGGGTCAGCTGGGAGATCGACCTCTGACCTCGGGGGACAGTAGGTCACACGGGGACACCCCTCGCGTTGGCTATGAAGGTGCGGTTTTGCTATTGTTATTATTACTATTTTATTGTTGTTGTTGTTACATTTTTGTTATGAGGGAATTGTGTGTCGAGATAGATCGTCTTGTTCTTCGTCTACATCTCCCTCATCATCCTTTTCTCTGCTTCTTTTTCGTTTTCCTTCTTTTCTTCTTTTTCGTCGTCTTCTTTTCTTTCTTTTTCTTTTTCTTCTTTTTCGTCTTCTTTTTCTTTTTCGTTTTCCGTTTTCCTTCTTTTTCTTTCTTTTTCTTTTTTTCTTCGTATTATTTTTTTCTTCTTTTTAGCATTCTTCTTTTTACTTCTTTTCTTCTTCTTTCTTCTCTTCTCCTTCTTCGTCTTCGTCTTCTTCTTCTTCTTCTTCATCGTCATCTTTTTCATTCTCATTCCTATCGTTGATGTTGAAATCATTATTATTACTTTATCATTACATCATCGTTTTTGTTGTTACTTTTGTAGTTATTATTATTATCATTATTATTATTATTAATATTATTATTATTATTATTATTATTATTATTATTATTATTATTATTATTATTATTATTATTATTATTATTATTATTATTTATATATTACTTCTTCTTCTTTCTTCTTCTTCATTATCATTATTTATTATTATCAATATATTTTATTATTATTATTATTATTATCATTATTATTATTATTATTATTATTATTATTATTATTATTATTATTATTATTATTATTATTATTATTATTATTATTATTATTGTTCTTGTTATTATTGTTATTATTGTTGTTTCATTATTATTATCATTTAACATTATTATTATTGTTATGTATTATCATTATTATTATTATTTATTATTATTATTATTATTATTATTTTTTATTATTATTATTAATATAATATTATTATTTTTTATTATTATTATTATTATTATTATTATTTTTATATTATTATTATTATTATTATTATATTATTGTCATTATTATTATTGTTATTATCATTATTAGTAATACTATTATCATTTTATTATCATTATTATCATTGTTGTTGTTGTTGCATCCTCCTTTTTCTTCATTTTACTATCATCATCATTATTAAGTCGCTGTGGATAACATTGTCATTATGATT